AACATGTGATGACAGCTTCCGGCGGGTTCTGTTCGCGGTAGTAAGTCTGACAAAATCTAGGAAGAATGTGAAAATGGCCCAGTTTTCTTCATCTCCATGTCATTGTAGTGTTCCGTTATGTTCAGCTGATCAACAATTATAACCATACCTCAGTTTTCATCATTTACAAACTGACACACAACTCCGAGTGCACTGGGTACATGCGGCATATGGGAGGAGGGGTTTGCATTTTCATGGCCCAGTACCAAGCGACCCACGGCCCAGTACAGGTCTCCGGCCTGGGGGTTGGGGATCCCTGGTCTAAAATGTGCACGAGATTAGACTACACACGCAAATTTAGGCTACTTAAAATGTTTTTATTAATGCCAAATAAAATAACCAGCACAAATTATGCATGATATGCTTACATTAATCATTTGTATATTTTAATTTACACTCATTAAGTTTGCGGGACTGCAGTTTATCATCCCACCTGCCTGCTCCTGCATTGTGTAGTCCCGCTCCCGACCGCAATGAGCTTTCAAAATGTGTCCCGCGCCGCACTGTTTTACGCCGGGTCCCGCGGGTGCAGGGCTCTACTTCCTGGTTTGTAAAGTAAGTGTGAATAGAGCCTATTAAGTTGCTTTCATGTGACATTCTAGCATCCCTGTAGTTAAGATTGAGGTTGAGGACAGGTCAGATACGGTAGATTTTGTCTTTCAAAATGGTTGGATTTGCTGTCAGAATGATTTGGGTAAATATCTGTAATTACTGGGTCTATCCACGTGAAAAAAAAAAAGCAGGCACAAATGTGAATAGTCCTTCATTATAACAACATGTTTTGACAACACGCGTTTGTGAGGAGACATTGTCAGATAAATAATGATGTGTTTTTCGCCTCAATGATTTTTTAATCATAGCAATTTTGATAAACTGATTAAAATAAAGGATAAAATAAGATAGAGATTGGATATTCCCTCATGAAAGCAGAGAGTTACGGCTGCATTTCATAAACTCATGAAGATGTTTTTCCATAGTATTTGTGTGACTTAAACTTAATGATGTTGTCTTCATAAAGCTTCGAGATTTAGCTGTAACCTACACGGAAGAGGATGTGCAACCAGCAAGGTGTTCAAAGTGTGAGACAGACTTTGATTCTCAACTCTGCCCCGAGCAATAATACCGGAAAATGGGACGCCAGTTTAGTCGAGATGCAAATCAAGTGTTGGAGGCGAAATCAAACAGTATTTTTACCCAAGTATCCGAAGCAATGGAGACAAAAATAGAGCTCTGTGATGAGTTCAAACTAGCTGTGATCACATCCGAAACAAACGCCACATCCACAAGAGCTCCTGCGTCAAAAGTGTCTCAGAGGACTGACTAAGCCTGGAGAATAAACTGCATGTTTCAAAACCCCAAATATGGTGTTCAGAAGTTTTATAGGACTTAATGATCCCAAATCGGACATTTTCTAACACTTTTTGACTGATAAAAACATGCAGGATTACACAAAATTGACTTTTGTGAGCTTTAAGGCATGTTCATTCATACATGTTTGAGTAATCCTTCATTATTAGTCTGGCTACATCTCCAAAGCTCCAAATGCTCTGTTCCACCTTGTGATGTCATGTAGAGGTAGTTTTCAAGTTAACTGCAATTTTTTTTACCTTTAGTTTAGTAGTGATTGGAAATTCCAGGGCTGAAATCATCCAAATCATTCTAGTGAAGGTGTGTGGAGTTTTAAAACACAACGGAGCACTTCCTACAGTTTTTCAGTTCAGCACTCTCACATTCACCTAATCAGGCTTATATTGATCCCAGGTTCCTAAAAATGTGCTTTTTAAGTCCATTTATTTTTTTGTTTTTTTTGGTGTTTTCAGATCATCTTACAACTTCTTTTACAGCTGACCTTTTACCTTTACTTTAGCAGAGATGTAGCCAGGCTGGCGCCACCTAGTGCTTCCACTCAATTTCATTTCTCTCCAGCGACTAGGTCAGGAATCAGAATACACTAGACTGTTTGCAAGAACCCTGGAAGTGCGAGTCCGGGCACCAGCCAATCAGCAAAGAGCCATACATTTTGTGTTGTCAACGATTCCCGAGATCGAGGATTTAAAACTGGAACAAAGAGAATGTTTGGTGACGTTTATCAAGTGGAAAGACGTTATTGTCCTTCTTCCTACGGGATTTGGGAAAAGCTTAATATACCAGTTAGCCCTGTTAGCGGCGCATTACATACGTCATGACCAAATAGCAGCGATTGGTTAAATGAAAAAAAGTACCCGCCTACTGTCAAGCGAACAAATCCTACTGCTGCGAGGTCAGATGGTTTCTACAAAGTGAAACCTTCTCATGAATCAGGGTAGCAGAGATGGGCAATTGGGCTGAAATGATCCAAATGATTCTAGTGAAGGTGGACTGAGTTTGACAGATGTTTTTATTTTGCAAGTAGCTACACGATAAACTACTTGTATTGTCACTTGAGTAGATAAGGTGAAGAGCCTTGCCCGGGGACACAATTATGTTCTCAAGTGAGGTTTGAACAACCGTTGTGTAGGTTAAGAAACAGCTGCCTTTTACTTTACCAGATTATTCTAGTGAAGGTGTATGGAGTATAAAAGGAAGGTGCAGCACTGCCTGTATCAGCACATGACATCAAAGGTGGAACAGTGTTTTCTGCTTGAGAGAACTCAATCTAAATCTGCAGGGTTTGAGAATGAAATGTGTGAATGAAACAAAACACAACTCCAGGTCTGTACTTGAGTGAGGTTTGAACAACCGTTTGTTAGTTAGGAAATAGTTACTGTACACGCGCCAAGGTTCCAATTGTGATTTTGATTATTTTGAATTTTTTTACTTTAAAGGTGGGTTACTCTTTTCTGGTGGAAGGTGCGCCACATGCTTGTCACCATGGAGATGTTATTCCTGGGCCTGGTATTAAACTTTAAAATCTATCATCGAGGAGACAAGCCAGTGACTCTACAGGGCCATGCATCCATTGAAAATGTACTGTATATATTTTATCTCTATGTAACTCATGTGTCTTGTATTGTCTGTTTTTATGCATGTAGTTTATATTTTTATATGGACAGGTGTTGAAAACTAACACTTGTGCTAAAACACTCAAAGCAATGCATCTGGCTTGTCTAATGCGATTGTGATGTCCTTAATAAACATAAATAAAAAAAATTAAAATAAAAAAAGTTACAGGTCAGATCCGTGGTAGAAAAGGTCATTTAGATCATGCATTTGAAATAAAGACGTTTCATATGCCATCCGGAAGTAATTTTCTAAGAATCAAATTTTGATCGCGATTTCGAGTTGTGTGTCAAACAATCTTCAAACTCATAATCGAGTTGAAATTATTTAAAGCCCAACAAAGTTTATTTTGGGATATATATATTAGGGATGGGCATGATTAATCGATTAATCGATAATTGATCATTAAGAATTTCATCGATTACGTTCATTTTAATCGACAAACCGAATGTAGGTTGCTGTGTGTAGCGTGACCAAACAGGGGTCTGTACATGTGTCTCTCTGCATCAGAAGGAGCGAGACACAAACAGTCGGTCAGTCTGCAACGTACCGAAGCACAAATGCGTATTTCACGATGACTTGTACAAGAAATTCCACGCTTTCCGTTGCGTTCGGGACAAGTGTGAGTCCATGTGCACAGTGTACAAAGCAGGAACATATGTTTCGGTGTCCAGTGGGAAAAAGCTTTACCAGGTGAGAGTCGCGCAATGTCGATGACGAGTCCCCACCTCCCTCCCCCCGTACGGTGTCCTGGTTTTGACAAACGCAAATATGGTCACACTAACCTGTATTCCACTGAGTCATGTCTTTTAATCCAACAGAAATTGGCCGCATCAGCGACACAAGAGCTGTAGTTTTATCTTCGCTGAGTTTATGCAAATTAGCATGATGTGGTTTTAAGTTTGGTTTCTGTGAGAGTTGCACAAAACTGAATTAAACACATTATAATGTCAAACGGATTGATGTGGCTCTAGAGTCGTTACGGTTTATATGTCGTAAAGTTGAATTTATTTATGCAGATTAGTAGTGCAGATAGTAATAATAATGATGATCATTTTAATATAAAAACGTTAATGATTAATCGATAATCGATCGTTAATTCTTCCGACGATCGATTAAGAAAATTTCATCGAATGCCCATCCCTAATATATATATATATATATATTTTTTTTTATAAATAAGTATATTTATTAATTTTTTTTAAATAGAGATTGTAGAACAGCTGGACATATATTTTATTTTGGATACATTTATGTTTTTCTATGCCTTATTTGAAGTTCAAAGTATATTTTATTCATTTTATGTTTTATACATTGCACAACTGCTTTAAGGTTCAGATTTGTAGCCTATATTTATTTTCAATTTGAAAGTTTTGCATAAATTATCAATAACAAAGTGTTTTATTTGAGAGAGAAATGCTGAATAAATGCATTGTGTAACAAAAAAAAAATCATGATTTCCATAATCGAGCAGCTCTATCATTTTCAATCTGGAGGTACTGGACTGACAAACTACAAATTTATACTGCCAGAAAATTTGCATTAATTATCTCTATATGCAAATCTTGTACTTGCCTGAAATTTATGACCTACCTGAGTGTTGTTAAGGTTCTGCTGTGCAAATGTGTTATACATTTAAAGGCTCCGTACCGGACTTTTTTCCATAGATTTGAGCAAAATTTGTTATGCCTCAGCAGATGTCTATTGTATAAGCAGCTCTTGAGGTCCACTGTGTACTGCCTGCATCGAATTACAAAGTGTTTTATTGTCAGAGAAGCAGGACATGCACTGTCAGCATGCTAGTTGTCCAATCCAGGATCTGAAAGTTGCAAAAAGAGCTTGTAAACGCTTCAGGGCGATTCGTGAGGATCCTCGAAATTCATAAACACCACAAACCGTTTAAAATCAGTTCTTGTTTTTCCACTTTTTTGTTTTAAGACTGTTGAAATCAGGTAGAGCGCTTTTACCGCCCGTGTTCTTACCCTGAAGTCGATGCCCACGGTGGAGATAAAGCTCCCGGCAAGAAAGGCTCCGTCTTTGAAGCGAACCAGCAAACACGTCTTCCCCACTCCGGAATCTCCCACCAGCATCACCTGAGACCACCAGACAACACACACAGAGTTAGAAGATTTACACCGTGAAAAGTCCAGGGCTGTTTTCTTTCGGTGAGTTGTCAGCTTGCATGCCTCAGTGGGAAGTTGTCAGAAGTAGAAGGCACGGAAAATAAAAATCAAAACTTATCTGCAAAAGGTTTGAGTAAAGTCAACACGGGCTAACACAGAGGTACGGTTATAGCAGTGAGCAAACTTATGTAAGAGTTTTTTATAGAAATACAAAAGGAGACTTATTTCATCATACCGTTTGTGTTGTATTTTCATTTTTTCCACACAATGACTAAGTTTAAAGGGCCCATATTGCGCTATTTTTCAAACTATGTTATAATGTCGTCTCCTTATCACTTTTTTTTTTCCATTTACACGTTTAATGCGCAAATCCTGCCTATTTAGACTGAGTTCTTCCCTCAAACTGAAAACATTGTTCCACCTTGTGATGTCCCATGGTAATACAGGAAGTGCTCCACTGTGTTTTTAAACTCCATACACCTTGACTAGAATCATTTGGATAATTTCAGCCCTGGAATTGCCAATCTCGACTGAAATAAAGGTAAAAAGGTAATTTAACTTGAAAACTACAGCTCCATGACATCACAAGGTGGAACAGAGGATTTTGAGCTTTGGAGATGTAGACAAACTAATAATAAAGGATTATTCAAACATATATAAATGAAACACAAAACAAGTCCAGGTCTGTTTTTGAGAAAGACACATTCTAACATGCTTTAAAGCTCACAAGAGTCCATTTTGTGTAATATAGAACCTTTAAAAGTCATGACTAACTCAAAAAAAAAAAAACTAACCTATGCTGTTAGTTATTGGTATGGACAGCTTAATTAATTAATGAATTTAATTAATTAATCACTGCATTTATATAGCAATATATATATATAATATATACACCTTTCAAGACACCCAAAGCGCTTTACAGTTCATTATTCATTCACTCAACACTTGTGGTACACTACTATTGTAGCCACAGCTGCCCTGGGACACACTGACAGAAGAGAGGCTTCCAATCTGTGCCATCAGCCCCTCCGAACCACCACCACTCACACACACACCACTTTCATAATAGGCAATGTGGGTGAAGTGTCTTGCCTAAGGCGACAATGACAGTTTTTGTGACTAGTGCCCCCCTGTGGCACCTGCAATTCCCAGTGGTCTCCCATCCAAGTACTACTCAAACCCGGCCCTGCTTAGCTTCTGAGAGATTTAAATACTTGTTGTTTAACCTGCTTTTAAGAATAGGTGCTCCACTGTGTTTTCAAACTCCATACACCTTCACTAGCATCGTGTGGATGATTTCAGCCCTAGAACTGCCAATCTCTACAGACCTAAAGGTAAAAGGAACAGTTAAAACTACAGCTTCATGACATCACAAGGTGGAACAGAGCATTTTGAGCTTTGGAGACGTAGACAGACTCATAATAAAGGGTTAATCAAACATGTGTGAATGAAACAAAACAAAACATTCAACCCCAGGTATGTTTTTGATGTTTTTTCACATGGCTTAAAGCTCACAAGAATCCATTTTTAGTAATATAGGACTTTTAAGAACTATAAAAAAGAAATAAAAGCTGAATATCGGGAACAGCAAATATCAGTTATCTGCCAAAGTAGTAAGCCAAATATCAGCTATTGGTATGGGCTCAAAAAAAATAAAACATCCATATCAGCTCACAATTTGTATTTTCCCTTGTATATCCTAACCATGTGTCATATTATTATTATTAATTACTGAAATGTGACTAATTAACTGTGTCTGTATCATTACACAAGATACTAGGACTAATTATTTCTGGATCACGCTGTGGAGTTACATCTGGAGCCACAGCTGTCTGGGGGCAGAATGCCAAGATGTGTACGGTACACCCAAATAGAGTCGTCAAAAGTATCGAAAGTAGTGAAATCGAGTTTGAAATGTGACAACACTAACCAAATATCAGTTCTAGGCAGTTAGATTGTGTTGTTATTATGAACTAAATAAAACGGCTAATGATTTTTGTGCATAATTTGGCAACCTTCACACATTTTTAACACACAATTTAGGTTTTTCTCTCAGACTGAAAACAGTCTGATCCACCTTGTGATGTCATCCGGTGATACAGGAAGTGCTCCGAAGTGTTTTACAAATCCAAACACCTTCAATAGAATAATTTTGATAACTTCAGCGCTGGAATTGCGAATCACAATCGAACAAACGATCAAAATTAGGCTAGATGTTAACTTGACAACTACCACTTCTACTCCTACTGACGTCACAAGGTGGAAGAGAGCATTTTGAGCTTTGGAGATGTAAACAGAGTCATAATAAAGGGTAACTCAAACATGTTAGGTCTGTTTTTGATGAGGTAACAACTTGAAACTGAACATTTTGCGTGATATAGAACCTTTAACTGACGCAGTTACGCATTGAAACACAAATAAAAAAGTCCGTTTAACATTAAAAATCTGTTAAATTATCTGCTTTTTTTTTTTTTTTTCTTACCTTAAACGAGATGTCATAAAACTCCCCGCTGTTGCTTATGGACGGTCTGCTCGGGTAAACCACGCCGGAGGAGGGGGAGCCCGCCACGGCGAGACCCTTGGCCGCTCGCCCGCCGCTCGGAGACGCTTTGGGGCTCTTGGCGGCGCTGCTCCCCTTGCCTTTCACTGCCTTCTTCCGCGACATGGCTCCGACAAAAAGCAGTAAAGTAGCCCAAGTGCGCTTTAAAGTACGGTTTGGCGGGGTTTGTGGTTGCTGGAGGAGAGGAGAGCGCGGGAGATGGATTCACCTGTGGTTTAGAAGCATGTCGGGGGGGAAATGGCAAAGGTTCGGCGCGGAGATGAGGCAGATGAGGTCCCCGTGGGTAGGCAGCGGAGTGAAACAACTCTCTCCCTCCTCTGTCTGATCTGCTCTGGCGTGCGGAGTCGGTGGAGAGAGGGTGCGTGGAGACTGGACGGGAGAGAGGAGCGCGCAACGGTGGTGGAGCATGCCGCTTGTTGTACGCTTAAAGGAACCATGCATCTCCAGAAATAAATACGCGGAGGAAAAGTGAACTTGGAAAATGTTTTATGTCAGTTAAATTGATATTCTTTGCACTACTTTTAAAATCCTGAATATTTTCATCTATAGAAATGAAAGACTAAAGTGGCAGGTTTTCAAAATCAAAAACTGGGATAATAATAAAATTGTGAAACGAGTGCGTAATTAAGGAAAATTCTTGGCCCATTCATTACTAAAGAGTCAATATTGTCACATTTTCTTTGTGTTTTGGTCATTTTTAAGCAGCTTTTCTGTATTTTACCTAAAAATGTGAGAATTTATGCCTATTTTTACTGTTGGCATGGATCAAATTGGTCAAAAATAGAGACACCAGGGACATTTCTTTTATAAAACTGTGAATAAACAGTGGTTTTGGATAAATTTGCTGGGACAGGAGACACAGGACTCAAAACTGACGTCCGGTGACCATAAATAAGACACTTTTCAGTCAGTCAGTCCATCTGTTATGCCGATCACTCACAGTAATAAAACATAGCGAACTTGGGATATTTAGGGTATTTTAAAACTTCAAGTTGTGTTTTAGAATTGTTTACTTCAAGAATTTTGGCCATAAAGTGACACTTGTTGGTAAAAGTGCAGGTTACAATGCCATATGGTTCCAAGTACGCTATATTGTCAGTTCTATGTTGTATTGTTATTAGGCTACTATTCAATTTCACTTTTTTTTTTAAATCTGAAAATCATACACTCCCTGTTACAAGGTGCCACCTAGTGCCTCCGTTCAATTTAATTTCTCTCCAGCGACTAGGTCAGGAATCAGAATACACTAGAAAGTTCAAGTGCGAGTTCGGGCACCAGCCAATCAGTGAAGAGCCGGAACAAAGAGAATGTTTGGTGAATTTTATCAAGGGGAAATACGTCATTGCCCTTCTTCCTATGGGATTTGGGAAAAGCTTAATATACCCCGTTAGCCCTGTTAGTGGCGCATTACATACATCACAACCAAATAGCAGTGATTGGTTAAATAAAAGAAAGTACCCGCCTACCTTTGAGCAAACAAATTCTAATGCTGTGAGGTCAGACAGTTTCTATAAAGTGAAACTGGTTGATGAATCAGGCTAGTTAAAGGTCCTATATTACATAGTGTCATAGTATATTACTAGTGTCAATGCTCGAGACTGGCCTGGAGTTTTTCCACGATCATGGAGCGTCTCGTCTCGGACTTGAGCGCATTTAGACTCAGTCTTCTCTTGGTCTTGCAGGCACTTGGACTCGGTCTAGTTACGGTTTCGAGGTCTGACACTCGTCAAGTGTGATCACATTTTATTACAGCTGCTACTGTCGGCAACAAACTTATACCATTGTGCAGGACTGTGCGGGGCTTATCACTGTGGCTTGTGCGTTTGTCTGGAGTCAGCAGGCGGGAGATAAAGATAAAGACATTGATACATTAAAATAACAGTAAAATAGAAATAAATGTAGAAAATGATAAAGGTGGCCTTGATTTGGTCTTGAGGGGCCGTGGTCTCATTTCGGTCTCAACCTTTAAAAGTCTTGATTTTGTCTCGGTCTCGACCCTCAGAGGTTTTGGTCTTGTCCTGGTCGTGGGTCCCTGTGGTCTTGGTCTTAACTAGTGCGATCTTCACTACAACACGAGCTGTTACCTCATCAAAAACATACCTGGAGTTATGTTGTGTTCGGTTTCATTCACACGTTTGAGTAACAATTTGTCTGTCTACATCCCCAAAGCTTTCAAGTTAACAGCTCCTTTCACCTTGTTAGGTTTAGTAGAGATTGGTAATTCCAGGGGTGACATTATCCAAATGGCCCAAATGGTTCTAGTGAAGACTGGTACTTTAATTGGCTACTTCGGAAATTAACTTATACTTGAGGTTTTGTTTTTTTTTTGCTCCGGTGTCTGTACTTGTACTTAAGTAACACAATTGACTACTTGCTCCCTTTATAAGGCAGCCACTGACATCAGTTTGCCTGTTAATAGTCTAGACTACTGTAGTAAAGTGACATTTGCGCCAGGACACAAGGAGACTACAGATGAGTGAGGTGTGATAAATCGTTTATTGGAGCAATGTTTTGACCCTGACAGGTGCAGAGTGACAGGGAAAACATGTCCCCCTGCCCTCGGGCGTATGGTGAAAGCATACCTGACCTGCAGGAAGAAATGGTGAGTATGGCACATGCTGTTTATTTTATACACTCTATCTTTTTATGTTGCCTATAGATTCAGAATAAAAGTTAAAGTGCCTGTGTCAGGTTTTCATGTTTTTCTAATTCTGACTTGGAGGTGTAGTACCTGTGGTCAATATTTATCATAGTTTTATATCAGTTAAAGGTCCTATGTTACACAAAATTGATTCTTGTGACCTTTAAGTCATGTTATAATGTTGTTTTCTTCTCAAAAACAGACTTGGACTTGTGTTTTGTTTTATTCACATTGTTTTGCGATGCAGAAAGACTAATAATGCAGGATTACACAAAGATCAAAATGCTCTGTTCCACCTCGTGATGTCATGTAGTTGTAGTTTAAGTTAACAGCTACCATTAACTTTTTGTTCAGTAGAGATTGTCCATTCCAGGGCTGAAATTATCCAAATGATTCTAGTGAAGGTGTATGGAAACACTGGAGCACTTCCTGTATCACCACATGACATCACAAGGTGGAACAGAGCATGTTCAGCTTTGGAGACGTAGACAGACAAATAATTAAAAAAAAGTGTTTCTCAAGTATGTGCGCATGAAACTCTGAATCTTTTTCGTGAGGTAACAACACGACTTAAAGCTCACAAAAATCTATTTTGCGTAATAGAAGACCTTTACAAAAAGAAATGATTATAATTTACAGTCTTAAATATAAATACTGTATCTTTTAGTGAAATTCTGACCTGTCAAATGCACTTTTAAAACAGACAAACAAACCACAACTTCTCATATAAAAATCTTGTGTTACAAAATGATTATTAGTCTGATTAAAAGTCAGTGTCCTCTCTGCTTCTCTCCAGGAGCTGAACTGATCCATTGTTCCCTGTAACAAAGCACAGGAGCCACGCTCGGCCACTGCAGGAGTTTTAATGAGGCCGCTCCTGACTATGCTAACCTCTAATCATCACAGGCGGAATTTTAAACCACAAGGAGGCAGGTCAGGGCTGAGTTATACAAGATCTGTGGAACACATCAAACAAGGCTCAAGATGGTTTTTACATGTCAAAAGTGAATCCACAGAGATGGTGAGGTTAAAGGTAAAGTACACTTAATTGTGCCCATAGGGAAGTGTGTCCTCTGCATTTGACCCATCCTTCAAAGCTGCTGAGTCACAGCAGTACTATGCCCTGGGACACATCTCCAGATCTTGAGCTGGCTGTCAAGTCAAAAAGCCCAGCCCCTCTGCTCCTCGTCTTCACCTCCATTCCTATTTTAATTTCTGGAGATTTTTTTTTTTTAATATACATGGTTTGGGTTGATGGAAGAAACTGGAGTCTCTGGAGTATCAGCCAACCGATATAATCAGTCGGCCGATATAGATACAGGTGCATCTATATATACTGCAGATTTATCAGGCCAATGTTTTGTCATTTTTAACATATCAGCTCTCTGCCTTAAATTTCTAGCAGAGGCTGATATTTAATTTGACCAACCAGCTGCCTCCATATGCATAAAGTTTTGTTTGAAGATTTTTGTGCAAAGAGGGAACTGCAATAATCTCCTGTTATCCAGTTTGTAGTAAGAAAAGGGCACGGATGAGTTTGTGCTGAATTCAAATGAGATAATTTGGGTAAAATTACCTAAATCTACCCCACATATTGGCCCAAAAATATTGCCAAAGCTTCTTGGCCATTGGTTTCTCTGGATCCTTAACGATCTGTATCATCATCATCATCATCAGCCATGAAAAACTCATACTGGTCAATCTGTAGGGGAAACCCACCCAGACACAAGGAGAAACATGCAAACTCTACACAGAAAGGTCCAGGCAACCCGGAAATTGAAAGCAGAACCTAGTCACTCATATCCAGGCTGGCAATTTCATTTCTCTCCAGCGACTAGGTCAGGTATTGGAATACAATAGACAGTTTGCAAGAACCAGGAAGTTGTAGACCGCGCACCGCCCTTCAGTGAAGAGCTGTGAAGCCATGACATCAAACTCAAGCGCCTGTCTGTGTCCCTTTTGTGATACAACACAACAGTAAACAAAGCGGATGAAGACATACATTCTGTGCTGGCAACGATTCCCGAGATCGAGGATTTTCACTCTCTGCTTTGTTTGCTGTGTTGGCAGTTACTTGGACACCACTGAACATTCCAGTGCATTACATACATCATGACCAAATAGCAGCGACTGGTTAAATAAAAAATGTAACCACCTACCATCGAGCAAACGAATCCTAATGCTGCAACATCAGACGGTTTCCACGAAGTGAAACTGGCTGATGAATCTGGCTAAGCCACTCAGCCACCGTGCCAAAAAGTTTTATTTATTTTTATTCAAGTTTAAAGTGCATATTTGTAAGAGCAAATTTGCAAAACTCCTCTCTGAAAGGTGTGAAAAGCACTTAAACTCATTGTGGTGATTAATTAGAATGTATAATTGAGGAAAAACTTTGGACAAATGCAAACCGTTCTAGGCACTACATCCTGTACTTTATTTTTTACTTTCTTTTCAACTTTTTTTTTTTTCACAAACATTAACTGTTATTATCCCACCAAACTAAGTCATAATTAGGAAAACATGTCAGTCTCATCTGCATTTTTAAACTGCTTAGTATTCTCACATGCTTTCTCCTCATTCATTTCCGTGTAGGTAAAGGGCCACAGGTGCAGCCCGGTGTCAGCGCGTATAAAGAGTGAAATGTACTGCTCCGGGTTAGACGA